GAGAACACTCTCACTTTAAACAAATTGTACCTAGAACGGCCTCTGGCCAAAGTCTTACATAGTCACTGACTGCAGATAGACTCTAATGGAATAATAATATGCCTCAGCCTTGCGACAGCGGGTTCAGCCGGGGGCACCTGCATCCCCCTCACATCTTATAGATACGCGATCAGGCGAGAAGGGCGGCAACGAATCCCAGTGTCACTACTGACTGGACAAGATGGAGCAGAACGAGCGACCGCATATGATTGTGGGTGTGGATTTGGGTATGACATGTAAGTCTTCGTGAGGCTGCGGGGGATTGCAAGCGAAGGGCGGGCCGGCTAGGGGGTGGGGGCCCGGCTGGATTGGGACAAGCGCGTGCTAGGCCGTCACGTGCTTCATTGTTCTCTGGCTGACACAGTCTCCCCCTGCAGGCACTGGAGTCGCATACGTGAATCTATCCATCGGCAGTGAGACAGTTCGCTGGGTTCGAAAATGGCCTGGCCGGTTCCAGGCGAACGAGAACAAGGTTCCCACAGTCATCGTCTACCCATCTGGCTCCACCGAGCCGTCCTCGTGGGGCTTCCTCTCAGAGACGGCAGCAGAAACTACAGCCGAGGATAAAGAGTACAAAGAATGGTTCAAGACATGCCTCGACCCGGAGAAGCTGTACCGGAAGCAGATCGAAGACCCTGAAGGCGCCCCCGAAAATCTGCAGCAGGTTGAAATGTGGTACGAGGACTATATGCGCAAGATGTACGAGTACCTGTCCTTCAAACTGGGTGGAGAGCTTGCTGGTGTCGGTTGGGAGGAAGCCCGCATTGAGTTCGTTTTCAGTGTACCGACGACATGGGCTCCAGTGCCAACAGTTGAAAACTTCAAGAGCATTGTCAAAAAGGCGGGTTACGGTGTGCACGCCGGTCATGTGGTGACAGTAGGCTTGACAGAGGCCGAGGCTGCTGCAGTCCATGTGTCTACTGAGGCGCCGGGTATCTTCCGCGAGAATGACGTTTTGCTCGTCTGTGATGCTGGAGGCGGCACCACAGACCTGAGCGTATTGAAAGTCACGGGCACCCGCAACCAAGCTATCGACCTTCAGCAGATGGATGTCGTATTCGGAGAGACGATTGGATCTGCTGCAATCGACTATGAGTTTGAGAAACTCGTCATGCGTCGTCTTGTACTGGCCCACAGCACAAATCCGTTACCCGTCGACTGTGCAGACGCGGCATGGGAGATGATGAAGAGTCGCGATTTCCAGGCGGTGAAATGCGAGTACGGCGCGCCAGATGATACTCCCTTTTTCAGCATCAGTATACCTCGCGTTCCTCAAACGTATAATAACTCGGATCCAGAAGTACGAATCCGGAACAGCGAAATGACATTTGAACGGCAGGACCTTCAAAGCCTCTTCAACAGGCAGATATCAAAGCTCCTCAAGCTGATTGACAGACAGCTGCAGTCGCTGTTCCAAAAATTTCCACGAGAGCAAGTAGCCCATCTTGTTCTTAGCGGCGGCTTGGGCAACAGTGCCTATGTGCAGTCACAGCTCCGAGAGTACTATGCGCGCACATCCTTTCCGAATGCCAGTTCCATCAAAGTTAGTATAGCGCCTGATCCACAGCTTGCAGTGTGCAAAGGTCTAGTCAGTGATCGAATCCGGAAGATCTTGACATCGCGGTCGGTTCTGGGATGGCGCTGCTGTCGAGCCTCGTATGGCACAGTGTGTAAGGTCCCTTATGACAAGAGAAATCCTGACCATCAAGGCAAAGCCCTTGTGAGAGATCCGCTTAACAACAAGCTGTATATCACGCAGTCGATTGCGTGGTTCGTCAAGAAGGGCGCTCCTGTGAGCGTAGACAAACCAATTGAGCATCGTTTCGCTAAGAAGATCGATGCGGGAGATCCAAGGCGAGCATTCCCGACGACCGTCATCCAGAGCGATCTCGAGGCGAACATGTTGCCGAACCAGATGAATCAATGTAGGTGTAGCTTAGGCTCTCCCCTGGCCGTTTAGGCTAGAATGCTGACGGCCGGTACAGACACGCGCATCCTCTGCGAGATCAGTTCGGACCTCTCGGCCGCAGACGAGAAGAAGTTCCAGGAGAAGAATAAGCACTTCTGGTCTCTGCAGAAGCACTACCTGCGCATAGAGTACACTATACGCGTGCTGATCGGTCCTGCCGACATACGGTTCGAGCTCTGGTTCGACGACCAAAAACTCAGTCACGACGAGTCCATTAGGGTTGAGTGGCTACCTGTATCAATGCCTCAAATGCCTCAAGTAGCAGAAATTTCGGGGGCGAACCAAGCAGTCGAAATGTCCAACTCGCCGCCTACGCCAATTGCGGCTGCGCCTCACAGTAGGGCGTTCGATAGCATACCCAGCGGAAACGACATGAAGGCGAGCAGTTTTTCAGTCATGAGCCGGAAGACATCTGTAGATATATCGAGCAAAAAGTCGCGAGGGAGAGGAGGGTTGTTTGGGAAGGGTTCTCTGTTTGGACGCGTTGCTTCGAGTGGAAGCTAAGAACAAATTGGCGTGGCTAAGTACTTACTTATGACGTGCGGACATCCCCGTCGGCCCGGAAGACGGCTTCCGCTCAACGCCATGAGCAGCTGAAGGCGACAGGCTAATTGATCACTTCGTTGTGCAAAAAGTAATCCCTTCTTACCCGTAACGACATCCTGATTGGTTACTGGCTCGCGGGATCAAATTCCTACACCTGTCAGCGCCACGGTCACATGCCTATCTGGTATTAATGCCATCCTCAGCCTGTTCTCAGCCTGTCAGCCTCGTCAGCCTTGACTGCAGACCACAAGGCGGCTATTTATTTATAAGTCCTCCATAGACGCCACAATGCGAGCATTAAATCATCAATCTGCCTCTCTCGTAGCACACAATAAATCTGGTCCACATGATGCATTATTTTACACTCGGCGGTAAGGCTAATCTCGACTCCACTCACGACCACCGCAACTCATATCCCCAAAGCCATAGTTTCCAGTCTGCTTGCAACAAGCGCAGCCCTCGGGATGTCCCCGCAACAAGTAGTTAAGCTTGATTCACCACAAGTGCTGAATGAAGCGGCCATCGACCCCTGCTCCCTCGCCGACTCGCCCAAGGCAAACGCCAGCGTACAACTGAGCAGCTGGCTAGAATGCGCTGTCAATGGTACAAACACACACGGATGACTACGTCAATCTCTTTTCTAAAAATTCCACCCAGGCTTCTATCCGTTTCCAGCAAACACCAACTGGCCCCAGGGCCATGCGACCTCGTTTTCAAAGGACATTAAATTCACATTCAACGATACGCACTACGACTATGAAGGCTCACTGAGACTTTACAAAACATTCAATGCCACGCTAGGCGTGGCTTTTGCGCCCTTCAAGCACGGCTTCATCAACACGCTCGGTGTTCCCAATGACAATGGCGACAAGGGCGGCTTCGTCTATCTGATTGGCTGGGCCGGCGGGTTCCAGACACGAGCACAGCGCGACATGTACTTTACCAACGCGGCGTTTGCAGTCGTCAGAGAAGAGGAGGGTCAGAGGAAAATTGTCGAATTTAGGGAGAGTGGCAACATTCCCAACACTGCTATTTTGCCACCCCCAGTGGAGTGGACGTGCGATTTCAAGTAGTGGAGCCATTTTAAGTTGCTTTTCAGGCCAGGCCGAAAAAGCAGTACCAATTTTAGTATTTTTGACGGATGCACTGTAGGATACATGAAAAAGAAGGATGCGGTTTCAAAGGCGGAAAACTATTGCAATTGAACATGTTTCTGGCAGTAAGAAGTAATCAGTAACTTCAAAATCGCAACGCATAGAAAAGATGGAAGATCTGCATCTCTTAAACCCCGTACCTTACATCCGCCCTTACCTCCCCTATCCTCTCTCTCAGCAGTCCTAAGCTCTCCTCTAGCCCCTTCAAATCATCCTTTGCCGCCTTCAGCGCCTCATCTGGCAGCATCCCTGATACCACATATAGCCTAGCCATGCAGGTGATGTCTATACTATCTACAATCTCCTTGTACAGTCCAATGTCATGTTCTAGAAGAGTGAGCTCAGTTTTCAGTGTGGCATTGGCGTTGGCACGGTCAGTTGCTAAGAGATCTGTGCTGAAAGAGTGGTGGAGAGAGGCGATTCTTGTCCATCGAGAGAGAATAGTGGTGTAGTGTGAGGGGAGGGTAACGGAAAGTGTGGTGGAAAGGAGGGTTGCATGTGGTGTGGGGTGCGTTGGGGCCATCGGGAAGGGGTGCTGGTTATTCTGAGATATTTGTGTGGTAGAAATTACTTGGTCGTTTGATAGCTCGGTTGATTTTGAACGCTGATTTCTACCAAGTATTGAATTCTCTAGAGTAGTATTAGGCGTGTAAGTCTCTATTGTAGTTACTTCATAACGCTAGGTTCTCAGGTATAAATACGAAAAAGAAGGTCTATTCCCAGTACTTCTGAGAGCTTGAGACAAATTCCACGTAGTTCTCATTGAAGAGTTGATGTGTCCACGTGATGCTCTTAGGAGACAATTGCGCGTAGAATGGTAACAGCACTGACCTTCAATCCTTGTAGATATTGAAAATTAGATTCTAGAACGCATTAATCATTTCGGGTATGAAAGATAGAATTGCAATGTCTCTGCACTTTGTGAGAAAGCAGTTTTGAATATATCATGCAAGACTTCGTGTACTAAGTATATATGAGGCACTATGTAGTTTAAGGATATGAAATTATGGTTACTGACCACTCTGAGTTACACACACTATGCGCAAGTTTAAGCACTATTTTGTTCGCGTTCAAATACAATATATTAATTCAATTACTATGCAAGTCAATCGCCATACACTCAGTCAATCACTAGGTCAAACGCTGGGCGTTACTTCAATCGCCAGTTCAGTTGCTATATACTCTCTTAATTACAGCACTCTCAACTTAATCATTGCTATCCATAATTACGCAACACTATTATTTAGGCATCTCATATCGCGCAATGGAGAGTATTACTTCTCTGGATAGTGTTGCACCTTCAGATTTCAAAGACTTATTGGATGCTGCACTTAAACTCCATGCAGAGAGTACCTGCTTCCTGCAAGAAACTAGGTTCTTCTCTACTGCCACCAAGGAAGATTTAGATCAATCAACCAACAAGCGATTACTTACTACGCATCTTGTGAAAGTAGCAAAAGCCTTGGTAAAGCGCCATGAAGATCTGAATACGCACTATGGCTGGGTATTGGCTTCTGATCGCAGCTGCGTCGATAAAGCGCTTCGCAGCGTGTGCACAGCAGACGGCGAGCCTAGAGAGTGGTTCACAGGCATGGTCAAGAACTTGGAGGTTTTTTATATTGCTTCAAAACATGTCGTCAATATTTATGAAGATTTTTTGAGCTAGAAGACCCCGGCTTAAGAGCCAGGGCTTTCACGGTTTCTTATTTTAGTGTTTGTAGACTGAACATCACGTGGCTTGAAAGTAATAAACTTTTGAAATCGCATTTAATGTTTATGCCGGAGCGATAAATGACCGACGTGTATGCATGTTGGCGGAATTCTGAGTATGTTTGGACAGCTGCAATCTCAGTTAATATCGATCTCATCCGGGAATTTTATGTTGTAATGAAAGAGATATCATCGTTCTCTCTGCGCTAAATTCAACCAGCGCAGCGCCTGTCGTTTCAAAACCAAGAGCGCTTTTTTTTTAACGATAACTGAATCACATCTCAAAATAGGAGCTGCTGTCCTGTGGATACATAATTCATACATACAGTACGAATTGGGTACATAATCAAAGAAGATCTACGAGACCTGGTTCTTTACAATCTGTCGCACAATATCAGATGTATGTGATAGCCTGAAAAAGCTACACCAGCCTCGCACGAAGACTATCATGTCTAGTATGGATTGGGGTGTCGCCTCGTGAAGGATTATCGTATCGAGCAGAATGCTGCCTAGAACCAGCCACTGCAGGTTCTGAGAACTGCTTGCTTACTTGTAAGGGTATTTTGTGTTCCTGACCTTCTTCGCAGTAATCAACTTACGATCACCCGAAATAACCGGCCGATATGAGTATCGCAACGAACTTTCCAACAAATTATAAGTCATCTCACATGTAATGATTGACCAAGCTCCCTTTACCGCCTAACTCCCCTATAGATGTTCCGTAGCTATAGGTCGAACACACGCAGTAGTACATCGGCTAAACTACCCTAAATCCAGTGGTAACTAGACTAAAAACTACATGCAACACCAACTTCGAGTTTTTCAGAATAGGTGTAATTTTAGTCTATTATATACAAAGAAACCCCAAGAAATCGATTGCAACCACTGCCAAAACGTGCAACCTACGCGCTGTGCTGCTAGAAGCCTTCAAAGTAGACCCTATTGGACACATCGCATTCTAATCACAGAACACACAGACCACGCAGATTACTAAGCAGAATGCCACCAGATAGCGATACTATCAACGCCAATACAGGACAGGACACCAGAGAGCTAGAAGGGCAGATCCAGAATAAGATAGAAATAGAATCTACCTAGCCAGCTACGCCTACGCAAAACCTAGAAACTCCTAGCGTTTTTGAAATCCTAATCCTCCCACTAAATAAAAGACGAGCTAACTTCTTACTAGAGAAGACGCAAACTCACAGACGCACTAGGAGCAACTTTTCTCCTTTTATTAGCTTAACGCTAAGAAATCCTTTCTCTAGCTAAAATAGAACTCTAAAGGCGGCTACAGTAGAAGAGGCCCTTGAGATTGCTAGAAACCTAGTAATTCAAGCAGCTAATCTAGCTAAAAACAATCTAACCTAGCAGACTAGTCTACTAGATCTAGTAGAAATATTCAGAGATTTTACAGAGAACGGCAGAGTAAATAAGAAAAACTCTGCTATTCTAGGAGACCAAATCCACGCACTATCTAACGTTTCAAAAGAACTATGAGAGAAAGTTAGACGCCTAGAAAAGCCACCCGCAGCCGCCAACCACTCTACCCAACTAACTCAAGCTACAACACTAGCCAAAACGTCGTACGCAACAGTAGTAGCTAGCAATAAAGAACAACCTTAGATTAATGTCTAACACAAAAACTAGAAACCTACCTAAAAGGAAAAAACCCCTAGTCTATTAGATCGCTAGATAGTACTAGTTAATAAAACACTAGCTGCTTTTGACGCCCTAAAGCTAAGGAACGCTTTTAACAAAGCCTTTACTACTAAAGGTGGGGTCTAAGCTCTAGTAGTCGCCTTAGTAACGATCTTAGGGAAAGGCAATAAGATTGTTACTACTACGCTAGCCTTCTTAGCAAAATATCTCCTAGACAACTAAAATATCTAGCAAGATATCACGCAGTTTCAGACCGCGTAGCTAATCACGCCCTAGTTTAAAGTAGTTATCTATTAGCTACTAACAAACTACAGCCTAGAAGTCTTAAAAGAAGAGATTAAGACTTTCAACAAAGGGCTACAAGTAGTAGGAACACCTTTCTAGCTTACCCCTAAAGCTAGAAGAGAGAATTAAAACGTAGGATCTGCCTACGTTTCTTTTACTACCAAAGAAGAAGCCTAAAGAGCTATTAGAGGAAAGCTCTATATCCTTAGACAAAGTCTTAGAGCAGAAAAGCTTAGAGTTGTAAGGGGCTGCGCTCCGGGGAGCAATCGCGAGGTATACAAGAGGTTGTATTCGATAGAGAGCTATAGAGTCTACTTGCGTGGTGTTTATTTACTTGTCAGAGAAAGGTTGCACCGAGTGTCTGAGCGCGTCGTCTGGGCGCCGCTCAGGCCTCGCACAGATGCCGGGTTGCAGAGTAAGACCT